CCCTTCCTAACTCGCGCATAAGATCAACGCCTCAAAGACAAGAGACACATTACTAGAAGTAACACTTGTGGAAGGCTGACCCGGAAAGCAACACCTCGAGAAGAAGGCGCGGTGCAGGGTTCATGAGGGTAGCAACACCTAGATACTTTACACCAAAACAGAAATGGCAGAAGAACAAGGGGAAAATGGGAAGAAAGACAACCACAATTAGAGATTCCTTAGAAACCCTAGAAACGAGTGATTCACCTACAAAAGAGAGATCAAAGGGTTATAGAAGGGGATCCAAGAACACAATACAGGCCAGAGAGAGAAATAATGTTAGAAGGTGATGCACCAAGCTAGGGAAATCGCTCCCTAAGTGCAAACATCCTTGAAACCTCAAGAATCATCACCCCTGCAAGCTTAGTGTTTTCTATAACTTTTCATCTAAACATCCTAGCCATTAGGAGCCTTGTTACCATCCCAGGAAACTCAGATTATCCAACCTAGAACATCATGCATCCATGCAAACTCTCTTTCTCTCTCTCATGCTAAACTGATAAACTTATAGCTTTCACACCACGCTTCTCTTCATCAAGTCATTATAACATCCACGTACTAATGATCCCATTGCTATGAGCTTATTCTAAGCAGAGTTTGCCTATACAATGGAAGTGAACGAAAAATGTGATATTTATAGCTTTGGAGTGGTCGCATAGTCATGGGGAGGCATCCCCAAGATATGTTCTCGTCATTCTTATCAATGTCTTCTTTGTCCTCGTCATCATCGTCATCTACATTACCAGCCCATCAAATGCCGATCATGGATGCTATGGACCAACGTATATCGCCTCCAATGCATCAAGAAGCAGGGGACGTTCTCTCTCTTGTGAGGATTGCGTTTTCCTGCTTGCATCCCAGTTCGCAATCTCGTCCAACAATGAAACAAGTTTCTCAACTCCTCTCAACTCAGAAGCTAAGCCATTGCATATGATAACCTGCGGTGATTGCTTGTTCATGATCCTTTGACTGGCTGAGAATTAGAGAAAGTGGGTATTTCCTATAAATGATTTTCCCTCTGTCGAGTCTTCCCTTTAGAAGAAAGTTTGTAGACGTTTCCCTTATTGTGATTTATTTCACGCAATTGTTTGCTATGACAATATATATATATTCATGCCCTTGTCCATTGTACGTCGTAATTTAAAATTCAAAAGGATGAATTTGCTTAGGGACATCCAGTGTTCCTTGTTCGATTCAATTCACCTGTAATAATATCTCTAGTAATTATAATTCGTGTTGGGGCACAGAAATGCTTCTCAAAGAAAGGCGATCCGAAAAAGTTATGCTGATGCATGCCTATGGAGAATATTATCCGAAAGGAGTGTGCTATCCACACATCACATTTTACTTCTTACACACCCTTGTTAACTTCTATCCGTTGATTTTCTTTAATTCATTCGATCCGACGGCCAAATATTAGAAGAGTGTGTGAAAAGTAAAAGAAGGTGTGTGAATATGACATCCCTATCCGAAAATATTACCAGTGACTTTGAGGTCAGTTTAGGAATGCCTTCTCTTTTTGCAGTGGTTCAAATACTTTGACTGAATGCTTTTCATAAACTGGTAAAAGAGTTCAACGAAGGCATGCTTATCACTTTTGCTATAACTGCCATTTGTGTGAATATCACATCCCTATCCAAAAATATTACCAGTGACTTTGAAGTCAGTTTAGGAATGCCCTCTCTTTTTGCAGTGGTTCAAATACTTTGACTGAATGCTTTTCATAAACTGGTAAAAGGGTTCAACTTCAACCAAGGCATGCTTATCACTTTTGCTATAACTGCCATTTGTATGTATGTATGTATGTGACCAGTCTTTTAAAAAAAAATTCAAACACTTTTTAGAGACTAACAAATGGAAGATGTGCCAAATGTGGTACACAATTGTGTTCTCCCTAATATTACAGGTCCAATTGATAACCATTTCGTTTTCTATTTTTAATTTTAATTTTTGTGTTTGAGAAGGAAATACATGACAGTAATGTGGGATATATATAAGAGTGGAGTAACAATTGTGGGAGATGTAGAAGAAAATGTACGAGGAAAGACGTACAATATGAAAACTAAGATCTAAAAATATTTTAAATTGTTTTTCACTTTCATCTCACCTTTCCCTTGGTTATTGTCCCCATGTCCCAAGCCAAAAAAAGTAAAGCAAAATTCGAAATGGTTATGTTGTTCCTTCTTTTTTTTTTTTTTTTTTTTTTTTCCATCAAAATCCGAAATAGTTAAGAAACTCAGATTACATGATACAATGTGTTAGAGTTCATTTGGCCAAAATTTTAGCAAGATTTTTCATAGAGGGAAGAAAACAAAAATAAGCTTAGAATCTAGCCAGCTCCATTTCCAAATAATGGTTTCATCCCTAATCTTTGGGCTCGTTTGATACACATAAGGTCATCTTCAACCGAAGAATCCAAAGGGTCAGAGGTCTGAAAATAGCCCTAAAATCGTCTCTAACCGAGGATCAGGCCAAAAGTCTCGTGGGCCCCACTGGACAAAAAAGGGCCAAAGGGCCAACCGGGCGACCCAAATGAGCCAGCAAATCGGCCCCGGGGCAGGCTGGAATTCAAATGCAACGGTAAGCTATCCGTTATTTTTTATTTTTTTATTTTTACAAAATTTGTTTAAAATTTTTTATTTTTTTCCCTATACCTTCCTAAACCATTAAACATTACATAACATTAAGTAACATGAAGCAGCATTAAACAATATTAAACAATATTAAACAATATTAAATAACATTAAGTAACATGTACACCGAGTTGGGGTTGAAGTAGTTGTTCATCAGATTGGCATGCATCATTGCTCTGTTTCGTGGTTTGTAAGAGCGACCAGCAACAGATCTCTTCATAATACCATAACAATCGATTAAAAACCCGTTCCATCTTATTCATAAAAAACTCACTTCCATCATAAGTTTATTTCATCAACTTCATTTCATAATACAATAACAATCGATTAAGAACTCGTTCCATCTTATTCGTAAAAACTCACTTCAATCAAAAGTTCATTTCATCAAATTTCATTTAAGTTCAACAAGCGCAGAAAATACACAAAGACCGACTTGATCAGGCGTACCTATGAAAAATTCCGTAAGTCTTCCTCGAACCATCATAAAAGTCCATTTCAGAATTGAATAATCTTTCAATCTTGCATGTGCAATTCTTCAATCAATTAACCCAACGAACACGCTCATTTTTAAGGCCACTTAAACCATGTGAAGTGAGAAACAAATGAAAAGGACATTAAATGAAGTCATGAGAAAAACCAGCACAACACAAAAAGAAAGACTCCAAAACACAGGAGGGCATATTAGCGTTAAAAGGCTTAGTTTTGGTACCAAACAACTGAATCTCAATTTACACCCTAAGCCAATTTTCACCTTCACTTTGGTCGTATTCCATCCATTCCGTCAAATATGCTAACATGGAAGGATAATGTAGTAATTTCATCCTAGGTGGCACTTAGAGTGCCATTCTCTGTGGTGACATGGCAACAAAAATAAACCGTGTAGAATGAAATTACTAAATTACCCTTCCATGTCACCGTATTTCGACAGAATAGACAAATCCAACCAAAGTGAAGCGAAAATTGAGTTACATCATGTAAAGCGGTGATATTTTTGTTTCAAAGGAGAAAGTGGGATTAAGTTCAAGTTCCATGGGACATACCAAAAAAATAAGCCTTGTTAGAATTTGTGAGCATACCACGAATTTTTAAAAATGAAGATACAATAGGCATATAGGCATGGATTAGGGATTCAAATTACGCAAGCACTGCAGCCTTTTTTGGCTTGCTGAAGCATCACGCACTGTCGCACGGTTAGCCCCAAGTCGAATAATCTGCTCAAGTTTGAAAACGCCAACATCATGCACAACGCGTTCAAAGAACATTAAGCAGGAGCACATTTCATGGAGCAGATCACCTCCTGGAAAAGATTCGGTATGAGAAAGGTGAACCCTAGCACGAAGTAATACAGGTGAAATTTGATGGCTCTCTTCCCAGCTTTAGCAGCTTCACTACATGGTTCATGGCTACTCCATCCCTTCACCCACTTCATGCGAACCCAAACAAGATCCAGTGTTGTAAGTCTCAAGGAAATCCCAAAACAGCTCATCAGAAAGATAGAATTAATCACCAAAGCGCTCATTTCACAATCCCAAGATGTTATCTACTAAATAAGTTTCTCGGGATAATTCTTTCCTCATCCATCCTATGGATGATACAACCTTGGCCAATGGGAAGCCTCCATGTGTTGGGCAAAACCCTAACCCCATGGGCGGCCACCTCTGTGAAATCTCATCCCAAATTTCAATATTTAGTTTTTCGTATTTGGTATTTTTGCGAATTTGCTTTATGTTCGTTAATTTTTGAATTTTCGTTAATTAAAAATGTTTGCAAAGCTCGCACATAAATCAAATACTTAAAACTACTAATCGACCAACAATTTTTCAGTGTACTTGGAATATGGCCACGTGACCGTCTATATTTCACCCAAATTATAAGACATACATGTATGAATTGTGTTTCAGATAATTAACGGTTGCCTCATCAATCATATAGATATAGGCATTGATGCAGATTATAAAGGGGGTTTATTCAGCAGTGTTTTAAATATTCTGGTATTTGGCTATTCCATCAATAATTAATTGAAATTCATGTATATTAGAATGATTACAAAGTCGTTTCCCCTCGATCCATTTCAGAATTGAATTATTACTTATGCAACACGCATTGCATACTACGAAACAAGTCCATTTCAGAATTGAATGATTTTCAATCAATCATGTGTCAATTGAACATCATTCAGGTAGCAGACCTGCAGGCATCTTTGAAGAAAAAATTTGAAGACAAATTGCCAAATTGCATGTAACGTATATATATAAGAGACAAAGACTTTGACTTGGAGTAAGTTAATTTATGGAGGACTCCAAAGTCATGAAACAAAATATTAATTGGAAAGACTTTTCCATGGTCTGAACCATGGAGATGTCAATTTCTTGTGGAAAACAGAACATTCTGCAAGTCCTGTATTTTTGTTCTTCTCTCCCACCCCTTTTTCTTTGTGCAGGTCGAATTAATTTGAATAGCTAGTGAAAGGATTATGATAAGCCCTAGAAGTAGACTATAATATGTACACAAAATTGAACAGAGAGGCCATGAGATCTTTATCTTTTCATGCAATCCTGCTGGAAGTGTCATTGCGATAAACCTTACCAATTCCAGTACACAAGGTACGCTGCACGGAATTTCATTCTTGTCCTTCCCCAATCTTGAATACCTCAACCTTACCCTTCTCTATCTCTACAAAAATCTCTTATTGAGCTCGGTTTGGATCAGAATCACTCAATGGTTGACAGCACGCTTCAATTGCTATTTGTAATCACATTCACCTTTTTAGCAGCACTTTACATTCTTGCTGCTATCTGTACAATAATTGTCTTCGTAGTGAAAAGAAAGAAGAAGCATCAGGATAAAGGAGAAAAAAGCATGCATAAAGAAGTATCGTTTTCAGTTTTGAATTTTGATGGAAAATCAATGTATGAGGAAATCACAAGGGTGACAGAAGACTTTGATTCCATATATTGCATCGGAAGTGGAGGACAAGGAAGCGTATACAAAGCAAAGTTGTCATCTACCGTCACAGTGGCTGTGAAGAAACTCCATCAATTGTGGGATGGCGAGAAGAACTTGGAGGAGGGATTCTTGAATGAAATAAGAGCACTGACAGAGATAAGACACCGGAACATTGTGAAGCTTTATGGTTTTTGTTTGCACCACCGGCACTCGTTCTTGGTGTGCGAGTTTCTTGAAAGAGGTAGCTTGGCTAAAATTTTGAGCAAAGATGAAGAAGCTAAAGAAGTGGGATGGAGAAAAAGGGTGAATATTGTTAACGGTGTAGCTCATGCCTTGGCATATATGCACCACGGCGTTGTGCAACCAATTGTTCACCGGGATATATCAAGCAAGAACATTTTGTTGGATTTTGAATATGAGACCGTTGTTTCAGACTTTGGCACTACTAAGTTTTTGAATCGAGACTCAACTAATTGGACTGCCGTTGCAGGCACGTATGGATATATTGCACCAGGTAAAATTGTTCTTTGTTCTATATATTATTTTGTTTTTTCTTTTAGACCAATGATTTTGACATCTTGCATAAATTTCTTAATTTATTCTGGGATAACTTTGCTCTGAATACTATTCATTTTCGTCCATAGGCAGGAGTTACATTTTGATTTGGAATAGAACTTTGTGATTATGTACAAGATAATCTGGTTGTTACTGGTGATCTAGAATCTGCTTGCTTTATATTAAGATTAAATTAGTGATCAAAATAAATTTCTCCTCCATTTTTCTTCATGATGACAAAATGTTCTAGACATCGAAGTCTTATATTGTTTATTATATACCCATACCAATTATCCCACTGCTATGAGCTTATTTTGAACAGAGCTTGCATATACAATGGAAGTAAATGAGAAATGCGATGTTTATAGCTTTGGAGTGGTCACATTTGAAATAATTATGGGAAGGCATCCCGGAGATTTTTTCTCATCATTCTCAACAATGCCTTATTCGTTCTCGTCATCATCATCTGCATTACCAACCCATCAAATGCCAATTGTGGATGTTCTGGACCAACGCATTTCGCCTCCAACGCATCAAGAAGCAAGGGAAGTTCTCTCTCTTGTGAAGATTGCGTTTTCATGCTTGCATCCCAGTCCGCAATCTCGTCCAACAATGAAACAAGTTTCTCAACTCCTCTCAACTCAGAAGCTGCATTTGTCAAAGCCATTACGTATGATAACCTGCGGCGAATTGCTTGCTCTGGATCCTTTAACTGCATGAGAATCAAAGAAAGTGGGTATTTCCTATAAATAAGTTTTCCCTACACCGAGTCTTCCTTTTAGAAGAAAGTTTCTTTGTAGATGTTTCTGTTATTGTAATTTATTTCATGCACTTGTTTGCTATGGCTCTATGTACTTTTACGTACTTGTTTGCATGATTTAAAATTTTAGATACTCTATGCATGTTCTGACAAAGAGCACCCAAATTGCATTGCCAATCTAATTGAACCTGTTGTCATTAGATGATGAATAAATCTCAATATCGGATGATTCGAGTTAGCCTGATTGAGTTGTGCGCTGGAATTTCGAAGACACGGCGATATGTAAAGTTGAAGCAAGTAAAAATCTGGAGAAGTATGCTGAAGGAAACAAAAAGAATACCAGTCATTACATTAATAATTGGTAGACTAGTAGTACATATACATGCTTTTCCATGTTCATGTACAAAACATTAAGCAAGAGCACATTTCATGGAGCAGATCACCTCCTAGAAAAGATTCGGCATGGGAAAGGTGAACCCCAGCATGAAGTAACTCGGGTGAAATTTGATGGCTCTCTTCCCAGCTTTAGCAGCTTCACTACATGGTTCATGGCTGCTCTATCCCTTCACCCACTTCACGCGAACCCAAACAAGATCCCGTGTTGCAAGTCTCAAGGAAATCCCAAAACAGCTCATCAGAAAGATAGAATTAATCACCAAAGCGCTCATTTCACAATCCCAAGATGTTATCTCCTAAATAAGTATCTCGGGATAATTCTTTCCTCATCCATCCTATGGATGATACAACCTTGGCCAATGGGAAGCCTCCATGTGTTGGGCAAAACCCTAACCCCATGGTTGGCCACCTTTGTGAAATCTCATCCCGGATTTCAGTATTTAGTTTTTCGTATTTGGTATTTATGCGAATTTGTTTTATGTTCGTTAATTTTAGAATTTTAGTTAATTAACAATGTTTGCAAAGCTCGCACATAAATCAATGATCTACCAACAATTTTCCAGTGTACTTAGAATATGACCACGTGACTGTCTATATTTCACCCAAATTATAAGACGTACATGTATGAACTGTGTTTCAGATAATTAACGGTTGCCTCATCGGTCATATAGATATAGGCATTGGTGCATAGTATAAAGGGGATACAGCACTTTTTGGGGTTGGGGGAGAGAATTACTACTTCTGTGGTTATTGAAATTGGGTATGATTATACCATTTCTTACAGGTCTGGATCTCTCATTACTTGTAACCCCACTTAATAAGTGCTCCTCTAGTTACAATTCAATGAGTACCCACCAAGCTACCAAATTTACTGCAACACCGTAAATATCACACCATCAAGGAATTCCAAAATTATTTGAGTCTGATGAACTTTAGTTAGAGCTGTAAGTACTCAAATTCCATCACAACAACTATAAACATGCTAACGAAAACAAGTAGGGATTTGGCGAACGAAAAGCAAGTACTCAAATTCCATCACAACAACTATCACATCAGAACTACTTGCCATACGAATTGAATTTCCAAACTAAAATTGCAGAAACAATGCAAATGTTTTCACACACACACACACCAATTTTCTCAGCAACCAAACAGAACGCTAAATACAAAACGAAAATGGCTCGCAAAATCGATAGAATTCAAACTTTTTCAAAGCAGCAAAACAGTACGAGATTGGTAAAATAGAAATATACGGCATAAAATAACAGATCGGAGTCCATTAGCAACGCATTTACCGATGAAAGTGAGTGAAATTTTCGAAACCCTAATGAAATCAGTGTACATGAGATCAAATAAGTGAAAATTACAGAATGCATTGACGAGTAAAAGGGAAATTACCATGTTCGAAGTCTCTGTGGGGAATGTTTTGGAGACCCTCGGTTGTGCAGTGCAGTGAGTACAGGGAGCGGAGAAAGGCGTATACGTAGTACTTGGTTGGAAGGAGGGGAATTGGTATAAAAGCTGCCAATTACCAATTTGTCCCTATTGCTTCTTGGAATTTTTTTTTTTTTTTTTAACAAACGAGATTATCAACAATAGAAGGATGGGATGAGATTAGCCTCACAATGGATTAGTAATAACGTAGTTCAAATTCACCTTTCAGCAAGAAACAAACTTAAAACATCTTACTTATAAGTGAAGATGAAGACCGCTATATCATAATACTAAGTGGCAATTACTTATTGGAATAAAATTACCTTCTTTTTTTACTTAACGGACAAATTTTACTCTCTTGTCCTTTTATTAAGTTATTTTTTTCTTATACAAATGGATGTACTTTGAGGTGCTTCACGAACAAGGGAAGCACATGTCAAGTACCTTTTTTTTCTAAAAAAAACATTTCTACGAACTAGAGGTGCTTTTTAAATTCTTTTACCAAATGTTGTCAAAAGCCCTTATGACTGCTAAATAACATTTTCTTCTTTTATAGAGTTTGTCACGTGGAGAGTAATTTATATGGCACGATGTGCTACTGCCGCGTATTTTGTGCAAATTATACAAGGACACATAAAGAGAAAGCAACACATGTCTTTCTATTTTAGGTACATAACACCACTGTGAAAATGTATCAGTGTCATATAAATCATTATTGTCAAAACAATACTTAGGAAGCAGAAATTGAACACAAACTCTACGTCACCGGAATAAATTTTATTGAGCACTTGAACTACATAAGTCCCTTCCATATTTTTTTTAATGGTTAATTTGCCAAAAAGAAAAGAAAGCAATTTCGCATACCAAGCCACATTCTAAGAAAAAAAACCCAAAATTTGCTCCATTAACGTTCATTACTTTTGGTCCCGATATTATCATCATTTAAACCTTGTGTCTTTTTGGTAACATCCGATCCCCTTCTCGCCCACAATTTTCTTGCCATCCATTGCTTCCAATCCCCTCCTCCACCACCGATTCAACAATGTCCAATCCATCCCCCCACCATCACCACCAAACAATACACCAAAAACTCCAAAGCCAAAAGAGCTCTCCGGTCTCTATCCATCGGGATTGCAATCCCCCTCTCCTTAACCACAATCACAATTCTCCTTTTTTGCTCAGGCTCCAAGTACAAGGCCTTGGCCAAACCCTTTTGGCTTCCACAACTTAGGCCATATCTAACCAAAAGAGTTAAATATAACCCCGTTTAGAATTATACTCTCCCCAAAAAATTATCTTTAAATGAGCAGTGTCAGACTATACTCATATATCATCTCCAATCGAAGTGACTAAACATAACCCCTCAATAATTTATTAGTTTTAAGTTTATACTTTAAATTTATTGGTTAATTTAGTTAAACTACCATTAAGTGTTTTCAAATCTAATCGTTGAATTTGAATCAAATATTGCAACTAAAGAGTTGAGCTCCAAAAAAAGGGCTAAGCAAAGGGTTACATTTGGCCAGCTTGACGCCTCTTGGGCCAAATAATAGTCTAGTGGGCTTCATACAATTATAGCCTAGTCATTGGTTGGAGATAAGTGTGACATCCTACATCGCCCAGGGGAGTGATCCTTAAATGTATATTTTCATCCCTACCTAGCACGAGGCCTTTTGGGAGCTCACTGGCTTCGGGTTCCGTAGGAACTCCGAAGTTAAGCGAGAATAGGGCTAGAGCAATCTCATGATGGGTGACCCACTGGGAAGTTGCTCGTGAGTTCCCAAAAACAAAACTGTGAGGGAATGGTAAGCCCAAAGCGGACAATATCGTGTTACGGTGGTGGAGCAGGCCGGGGAAGTCGTCCCGCCCGGGCCAGGATGTGACAAATTGGTATCAGAGCCTAACCCTGACCGCGTGTGTGCCGACGAGGACGTCGGGCCCCTAAGGGGGGTGGATTGTGACATCCCACATTGCCCAGGGGAGTGATCCTTAAATGTATATTCTCATCCCTACCTAGCACGAGGCCTTTTGGGAGCTCACTGGCTTCGGGTTCCGTAGGAACTCCTAAGTTAAGCGAGAAGAGGGCTAGAGCAATCCCATGATGGGTGACCCACTGGGAAGTTGCTCGTGAATTCCCAAAAACAAAACCGTGAGGGAATGGTAAGCCCAAAGCGGACAATATCGTGTTACGGTGGTGGAGCGGGCTCGGGAAATCGTCCCGCCCAGGCCGGGATGTGACATAAGTTTTTGGGCAAATCAGACCATTTTTTAGCTTTTGGACCTTTAGGCCACCTCAACTGAAAGGGCTACGTTTAGGCCCCGTCTAAATTATAGCCCTGCAAGAAATTATTTTTTAATGAATAATGCTAGACCATATCTATATTATATACACAATCTCCATCCGAATGGACTATTTCTTAGGCCCCTCAATAATTTATTATTTAAGTTTGTTCTTTAATTTTATCGGTTAATTGAATTAAACTATCATATTGAAATAAGTTTTCCAGACATATTTTGAGGGTCACTTGTCGCTAAATGTTGTTTTAAGTTTCATGTTATTAAATATTTTAATTTTACTTGTATGTTAACAAACTTAGACATGAAAATGAGGTAATATAGTATGGAAATGTGAAAATGATGTGAGAAATGGTGTAGAAATGACTTAGGTATTTATAGGAAAAAATTAGAATCTTTAATTTTTTTTCTTTTCTTTAAAAAAAATAATAAATAGGCTACATGACGTCAACTAGCAGCATAGCTGGGGCTAACTTTCAAGGCTGGCTGGCTATGTGATGAGTTTTGTGTCAAAACGGGCTATGTTTTGGCCTATAGCCCTTTGGCTGGCTCGGTTGGAGATGGAGCCCTCACCATTGGAGATGGCCCTAGGCTCATACATTTAGTGCAACCCTACTGTTGCTTATTGCCTTGGGAACAGGCAACCCAATCCACTCCTCCCCCTTCCCAAAACACTCCAGTCCATTCAGACAATTAGACTCAAGCTGACGTCATCATGATATCAGCCACAATTTAAATTATTAAAAATTATAAATAACATTAAAAAATTATAAAAAAGCTACTTAAAAATATAAAAAATCATAAATTTTTTTTCCATAAATACCTAACCACTTCCACTTTACACTACATTCCAATATTTTCAAATACTTTCAAACAATCTTTTATTATTATCTGAAATTAAAAATAAAACTATCTTTTATTATTTTATAAATACGAATTGATTGAGCTATTGGGGTTGAGATGCATTTTGATAATTATTATTTATTTAAAGGGATTGAGTTGCTTATTGTCCACAGAGGCTTTACTACACTAAAAGTGCCCTTAGCCTCACTTCTCTTCATTCCTCGTTGGACTATCAGCATGGCTTGTTTGGGCCGACGGTGGATTCCATGAACAGCCCAATGCATATGTCCACTGCATTACTCAAATATCATTGAACATTTTGTGGGATCCTCTTGTGCGCCGGACCGGGGCTACTTGGATTGGACGATTCCTTTGGTGCATTTTGGAGGTCTTTTCGCCTGCTACAAAGTCCTTTCGACGTGTGAATGCGTTTGCCAAGGATCTTGTAGAACCATGTTTGACTTGGGTGGCATATTTTGCCCTTGTTACTTGCAAGCTTTTGCGTCTTGGATTTTGAAATGCACACAAACTAATTATTCATGCCTTCATGGTTAGGTTTAGGATTTTAGGGCTAGAGGCACGGGGATGAATGAAACTAGCAATCGCCCTGGGGAACAAATCTTGTCCAAAATCGGCATATTTAAGAAAGCTAGTCGCATAATTTTTCGCATGCAAGTTAGGCGACTAGGTTTTTTAAATACAAGTTGTATACAACAATTGTATGTAATAATTTCTCCAACCTAGGAGGTGTAAAACAACACATATACAATTTTTTACTTGTTTATATATTTTTATTTTAGTCACACAACAAAAGTATGAACATTTTTTTTAACAAAAAATGGTGATATGGAGTATACAATACTCCATGTTTTTAATTAGCCATTAGCCTTTATTAGAACATGTAATCAGTTTTTTTACCATATATTTTTTATATGAAATTATCAATGTTGTAATACTTTTGGATGAAAATTAAAAGGAGTTTATGAGTGATGTGACCAAACTCATATGCTCAATTCCTTCTCTTGTAAGATATGTTATGGGATGTGCTTTCCAAACATTATTTTAACTTCTCACACACTCTTTGTTAATTTTTGTCTTTTGGTCTTTTTCAAATATCTGATCCGATAGCTGAAAATTAAAAGAGTGTATGAGAAGTAAAAAGGGACGTGCAAATATCACACTCCAAATGGTATAATAAAGTTAGAATGGTGTGTGGGTACCCTCATATGGAGAGCAACTTATATGAAACTAGAAATTTACAATCACGTAGCGTTCTCATTCAGTAATACATTATCATGCATGTGAAAAAAAACTTGCACATAACTCGTTTCATGCAAATCTTTCTCCCTCATATGTGCTTTCTACATCCAAATGCCAAAGATTTCCAATGAGATAAAGACATGAATTGACTAAAGAAGATTAGTGAATAGAAAAGATGATTAAAGAAGATTAATCCATATATTAATAAAGTGCAAAAAGAAACTTGGACTATTATTTATATTAATTATCTAGGTTAGAAAGTAATTGGAGTCGCGTAGTGCTTGCCAGTTATTGCCACATGTAGATATCGCACACGCTATCAGTCAAAACTCCGTTTTGTTTTTGGGACAGCCCAGCAAAACGGAATTTCTTAGAACGTCAAAACTCCAATCACATGTGCTATGAGTCAAAACTTCGTTTGGTTTTCGAAACAGCCCAGCACATGATATCAGTTAAAACTCCATTTTGTTTGTTGAAGAAGCCGTCACATTAGGTGTTAACTCCTCGCCTCGTGGCCAGTTAAATTGGAATTGGCTGTTAGAACGTCACACGCGGACACAGACAGATCCACGTGACTTGATTAATCTGTCTAAAGCGGCACACAAACACAACACGTGCTTTTGGTTTTCTTCACTTAATTTGGAGTTTGATTTGCTTGCTGTG